TGTGAACACAAGTTCTACTGTGTTTCTCCTCATGAGGGGGAAGTCTGCTTTTCTCATTTCCTAAGGAAAGCTTTTTTAAACAAAATGTCCTTAGTCGTGGATGTTTTATTGACTAATATTAATATTAACTAGCAATGCACCTGCAATTTAGTAGAATAAAGCAAGAAATGTGCAGTGTATGAAGTCGTACGTAATGTTTTTATATCACCAGAGCTTACATGGCAAGAATAAACAAAGTTTACCTCAGTGATTATTTAGCTTATTTCATATAGAGCATAAGAGTCAAGGCCCATGTGTACCATGAAACTTCTTTAACTTGGTGAAATAACAGTCCATATTTTCCATTTCATATTTGCCATGGCAGCTCTACATTTTGTGAACTGAGGTAATATAAATGATTGCCTTTATGTAGTACAAAAGAATGCATTGCAGGTGAGTTTGTCATGCTGTTCAGCTATGGATGGGTGTAAGAGAGAACTGGACAGTTAGTAAATGAAGAGTAACATCCAGTAACAGAGGAAAACTATGATAATGAGGTTGATAATATGATAATGTGAATAAAATTACCTTTGGAGCCACAGGAAGTCTCCAATGTTGTACGAAATCTCTCAGACACAGATAAACATGTCCTCCAGTTTTAGTGGTATAACTCATCTGTCCAACAGGGTAGCAAAAGCAATAAAGATTAACAGCATTTTGATTTGATTAGCAATATGTTAGTGAGTTGGAAACAAAAGGAAAAAGTGCAGGGGCGAGTATGAATGCTCAATAAACAAAAGTCCAAAATGGACTAATGTGCCACACAACCAAAATTATATGAACAAGACAGTAATAATAATAATAATAATAATTGCTTACACTTATATAGCGCTTTTTTGGACACTCCACTCAAAGCGCTTTACAGGTAATGGGGACTCCCCTCCACCACCACCAATGTGCAGCATCCACCTGGATGATGCGATGGCAGCCATAGTGCGCCAGAACGCTCACCACACACCAGCTATCAGTGGGGAGGAGAGCAGAGTAAGAAACCAATTCATAGATGGGGATTATTAGGAGGCCATGATTGGTAAGGCCCAATGGGATATTTGGCCTGGACGCCGGAGTTACACCCCTACTCTTTTCGAGAAACACCCTGGGATTTTTAATGACCACAGAGAGCCAGGACTTCGGTTTTACATCTCATCCGAAGGACGGCACCTATTTACAGTATAGTGTCCCTGTCACTATACTGGGGCGTTAGGACCCACATGGACCACAGGGTGAGTGCCCCCTGCTGGCCCCACTAACACCTCTTCCAGCAGCAACCTTAGTTTTTCCCAGGAGGTCTCCCATCCAGGTACTGACCAGGCCCACACCTGCTTAGCTTCAGTGGGCTGCCAGTTGTGAGTTGCAGGGTGATATGGCTGCTGGCAGTAGAGGGCTTGCACCCATCTCAATTTTTTTGCGTATTTATTTTGTGGCAAGTCAAAGCAATGCCAGTTGAATAAGGTTAATCTAAACAAGAAATGCCTTCCACTCACCATTTGACAAGGCAAACCCAACGTAAATCTTTCATGTCACTTCCAGAAAATTTAGTGTTATACACTGTAGAATACATAACTGTATCCCTCCTGAATCTGTAGCCTTTACTGGAAAAGGGATCAAATTTCAGTGTCTGATGTGATTGATGTCTTCCAAACTACACTCATTGTGATCTTTTCTGTTGGTTTCTTTAATATTGGTTTCCTGGCAGTAAGCCTTCCATTTTGACCAGTGGCAATTAGTCTACGTCTAACAGTGCTGGAGATGTAAGGGTCCAGATGCAATGATCAGTCCAATTGTAAATTTTACCTTAGTTAATTAAGTTCTGGGTAAATAATTAAATGTCACTCAACAGTAAAGAAAGACACCATAGTGTAACGCTTACGGCCGACAAGCACTGTGTGTAAGAGCCGGCGTACCAGAGCGGGTGACGTCACCGCCCTTCCCTGTGATAGCAGGACCACAGCTACTGGGCTGTAGAGAGATCTCTCTTT